ATAAGTATGTGCACTTCTCAAAGCTTCATGGTCAGCACCCAGTCTCATGGTAATTTAACGGGTCAATCTTTGGAACCACTTTTTTTTAACTGCCTTTTATTCTAGGAAATATTGTGTGAATTACATTAGCTATATTTGAAATATCAATGCTATGACTTTAGGTGTATGCTGATAAAGAGAAGGATCTGCAGATCAGAGAATTGAGATCTGTTTGGTGTCAAGATTGTGCTGCAGATCTCTGATTCTCCAGTGAAGGCATGGTCAGGATCATATTGGGTCTATAAATTGGAGTATAAGAAAGGGGTATAATACATTGTTTAGTATTCCCTGTAAATAATGTACAGATATTCGACAAAGAAAAGAGGAACAACACATGAACTGTTACTGTATTGAGATTAAAAGAGAAAATATGGCTATGTTTTATTGCTGTTTTTCCCTTAATTTTTAGAATTACAATCTATATAGAGAGGTAAGTTGCTTTATTTAATGTGAATATCAACATATAACTGATTTACAGAACTTATGTTCTAACTAATAGAAGAGGAAAATATCTCTAATTATTTTGCATGTAGTTCATGACAACAAACTGGTCAGGATTCTCCAGGGTCTGGGTCCCCAAAGTTGAGCAGTTAGATACAAAAGAAGCAATTTGAGTATGGAAAACAAATCCAATGTCTGTTTCTTCACCAAATAAATTTCTATGCTCCTTTAAAAATGTTTAACAGCTGGGTAAAAGTCATGAGTTGGATTCTTCATGAAAGGCTATGTTGCAAGAGTCACTCATTGCCTTTAAAGGAATAAAAAACTTTATAGAAACATTGTAATTTAGAGGGTGATTGTGCATCAGCTCATTAACATTTGCAAGAAAGCCAGCAATTTAAAAGTGTACATTAAGAAAATCTGGATTTTGGTAAGTTGCTTCAGTATCGGGCATCTTTTTCTTTCTTTTGGGGTATATTAAAATCCAAAAAAAAAAAAATTGTGGTTAAAAAATCTATGTGGATTGAGGGAGAGAAATGTCTACAAAGTTCACTTATAAAAAGTGTAAAACTCTACTCTCATTGTTCCTAATATCATTTTACTGAGAATGAAACTATGTTCTTTAATGTATGAGATACATGAGAGGTTTTTTATATTGTAAGCTTTGTCCTCTTTGCATTAATGAATTCAGGAAAAATACCATGCACAAACATAAATACACAGATAAAATAGCAAAATGTATCAAGTATTTAATGAATAGTGTAATAACATAAGTGCAAAATAAATAGAACCAGAAAAACTAGTGATATTTGGATAACTCTTAAATGGAGACAGAAGAAACAGTAAGGTTTGGATAACCAGAAAAGTTTTCTTGGGAGAGCTACTTAGGGATCTTATCATTGCAGAAGAACATACTATAAAATACTAGGGGGAAAATTGGGACCATTTCAGACAGTTACAGGAAACAAATATTTTTATAGAGTAAAATTTTAAAACAATAATATGATTTGAGCACTATATTTAGTGACAAATTAATGTATTTAATACTTCCTGAGGATATTATAGAGACCCACATAGAACATTGATGATTTCATGCTTTTGAGATGAACTGCTGTCAATCACAACTATGCTGTTGTATTCAAGGTGAAAGGATATCTAGGTTGAATTTTGATGGCTTGAAAGGACTTCATAGATAAATGACAGATGATCACACTAGAAGTAAAGAAGGAAATATACTTTCAAAATTCTTTGCTTTCCACTTTTTCCTGACTGCCTTTACTGTAGCCATGACATGAGGTCATGAGCAGAAAGCACTGGACACTGATTGGAAACTGGGAAACAAAGATTATACACAACTGGATTGAGTAATGAGTGGACTGTTGAGGCTTAGACTGGACAGTAAGTCATTTACAACTAAAAACTATAGAATGTAAATTCTCAAGACCCTTTATTTTTTCTTAACCAGTGTCTAAGACGTAAGTGTAGTTAATATACATGTAGTTATTAAATATGATCTCAGAAGTCCTGAAAGTACTTAGCTTAATTAGCTGCAAGGAACACCCTAACTACTTTCACAAAATAATCACCAAAATAACAGTTTAGCAATGATGGTGCCCTCTGAGCATTTTTATGTACCTGATAATTTATAACCAAATAAATACATAACACACACCTTGCACTCAAAATAATTGTCAGTTGACAACCTTTATGTTGTCTGGAATCCTTTATGCCCCTGTACTTATTAAACTAAATCATATAATTTATACAATGCAGGTATTCTCCTAGAGTAGAGATGACACAACATTTTGAAAGGTTTCATACATTTTAAAAATCATATTAAGGTATAGAACCCCAGAATAGTCAAAGATGATCAGTAAGAATAAGGAAAACTGAAATTATAGTAAAGGATTCTGCGTAAACAGAGAGTAATGAATTAAGGCAAGAAGGATCTCAAGGGTCCCTCCAGGTACCATGAAAGACCATGCAGAGGAGATTCACAAGGCATAAAATGTAACAGTAATGTAGAATCCTCAAATTTTACCTCAAAATTCAAAATGCTTAAGCTTAGGGTTCATAATTTACCAGAAACTCGTGAAATAATTATACTGCTATAGTGAATTGTGCTTGTTTCACATAGTTAAGCACAAGTAGTTTAAAGTTGTTTGGTAAGTAGAAAATAACAGCAGTTTCCTGACTTCAATCCTTCCAGGCTTCCATAGAATTACCTTGGCTTGTGGATATAATTGTTTATGCTGACAACTGTTTAGGAAGGTTAATGGTGCACCATGATTATTGAGTGGAATTTTTGAACAATTTGTATTAATCATTGTGAGAGATAAATTAAATAAAAGTATAAACAAATGTAAAGTTATACTGATAAAAAAGCAGACAAACCAATTAAAACATCTGGAATATTTGAAATATATATTTGAATATATGAAAAATATTTGAATATATGAAAGAGATGAATCATCTTTTTTTCTCCTTTTTGAATTCACAAAACATAAAAATAGTTATTAGAGTCTAAAAACACAAGAAATATCATTATTGACAATGACACACTAAGATAAATATTTAAATATAGAATTGGCTATGATGTTTACAGACATGTATTTTTTTTTTCAACTATAAGGCTTTGAAGAAGGATCATGGATATGCGCTAAGAGCTTCACTGTAAGGAAAAAAAAAACAAAAGTAAAATTGCTAATGAATTCTGTACAAAATATATAAAAACAATTATGAGTTTTCAGCTTTTAAACTGTATCACATCATATTTTGATCTTGGCATACTGATTCTTAGAAAGGTCACTTAGTTAATTAAGGTGAGGATTTCACAAGTTACCTTGCTATCTTAGCAGATTGTGTCTCCAAAGTCTTCATGTTCATGGATGTAGACAAACACATGTAATTTCAGTGACTGAACCTAAACACAAACTTTTTGGGTCAACACATGTGATCAATACAGTTCACCCAGGTCCACCCAATCTTGTATATATCAGACAGTGAGGTGGTATAGCTAACGTTCTGCTAGGAAAATTAGCTTAAGATCTAATGGAAAGTTCCCAGCTATTACAAACCAGAGAAATAATTGTCAGAGTTCAGATAAATACAAGGTAGCTCCATCATATTTTATGGATCTCCACGTTCATTTCCAGAATAAACCTTTTTTTTTATACTCTACCTTGTGAAATTTCAAATGTTCAGATGTCTACACAAATAGGGTTCATATTTTTTCAATATTGTTATATCATATTTTATGGGTCTCCACCTTCATTTCCAGAATAAACCTTTTATTTATACTCCACCTTGTGAAATTTCAAATTTTCAGATGCCTACACAAATAAGGTTCATATTTTTTCAATCTTTTTATGTTGTTTTTCTGTTGGTACTCCACAAAAGTATTCCATGGGAATAAAGAGCTTTTTTTTATTTGTATGAGGTATTAATTTTTAGTAGTACATTTTTTTGTAGTTTTTAGTTGCTGATAAATATTCAATGTTCATGTTTTATAGGTTACATACTAAAAACAGACCATATAAGATTATAAAATTATATGAAGAATATATTAAGAATATATTCAGATATTTCCTTAGGATTGATTTGATATATTGAATTTATGATCTTAAAAAAGATTGTAAAATGGTGATAATTCTACTGAATATAGTTATCAGTAGAGTTTGTTATTTATACAGTGCTGAGCATGGAACCCAGAGCTTCACAGGTGACAGGAAAGTGTTCCACTAAGCCACATCTCAAGGGGAACAGTGGAATTTTGTTGTTGTTGTTGTTCAGGTCATTTAAAGATGCTGTTGGATATTTGATGAGTCTTTGAAAATAGAATATGTATATAAGAAATAAAATTTCAATCCATTAATACACAACTGTGAATGTGTATTAATGTTTTGCTTATTATGTTTGTATTGGTTTGTTTTAATTGTTGCTTGTTTCTGAAATGAGATCTTGCTGTGTTGCCATAGTAGGTCTTGAAATCATGACCTCTCATGATCCTCCTCCAAACACTTCAGTTTGTCTGAATATTCCTCCTTGCCTGGTTACTACTATGGTTTTCTTTTCTTTTCTTTTCTTTTTTTTAAGCATATTAAAGGATTTGCCCTTCCATCAACTGATAGCTGGCATGATCTGCCCAGTGCTCCCTGAGTTTGCTATATATGTTCTTTCTTTTACAGAATTATATTTATCATGAGCATTCTAAGCATCACATACATTTACAAATGCTTTGTAGGAAATAATATTGATAGGTACTACAGTGTTTTTCAGAAAACTGCAATGCTGAAGAAGGATAAAATTTATTTTCTGTTATAAAAAGTCAATGAGTGTTCTAAAGGGAATCCAAAGTGAAGCAGAACAATCAGGAAGCAAATTGACCACATTTGTTTACACTGGTTTATACTGAGCATCTGCAGAGCTTCTCCCTCTCCAAATGCTCAAGTTCTGATGCTCAATTTTATTCTCCCTTTCTCTCTCTGGGTGTCTCTCTCTCAACATCTTCACAAAGAATAATGGTACTTGTGGTACACGACACAGGAAACCAGAGCTCTGTGGCCACATTCATTCTGGTGGGGTTCTCAGAATTCCCACAGCTCCAGGTACCCCTCTTCCTGCTGTTCCTCATCATCTACACAGTCACTGTGGTGGGGAACGTGGGCATCATTGTAGTGAGAAAGATCAATCCCAAGCTTCATACACCCATGTACTTTTTCCTCAGCCACCTCTCATTTCTGGATATTTGCTACTCCAGTGTATTTACACCCAAGCTGTTAGAGATCTTGGTTGTGGAAGACAGAACTATCTCCTTCAATGGATGCATGACACAGTTTTTCTTTGGTTGTGCATGTGTGATTACAGAAATGTTCATGTTGGCAGTGATGGCCTATGACTGGTTTGTGGCCATGTGTAATCCCCTTCTCTACACAGTTGCCATGTCTCACAAGGTCTGTGCCCTGCTGGTGGCTGGAACTTACATGTGGGGTAGCCTCTGCTCCTTCGTAATCACATATTCCCTTTTGCAACTGTCATACTGCGGATCAGGCCCCATGAACCACTTTGGCTGTGAGTACTCTGCCATCACCTCCATCTCTTGCTCTGATTCCTCCTTCAGCCAGATGGTATGTTTAGTCATTTCTATAATGAGTGAGGCCTGCAGCCTCCTGATCACCCTTGCCTCCTATGTCTTCATTGTTGTCATTGTCATCAGGATCCCTTCCAAGGGGGGCCTCTGCAAAGCCTTCTCCACCTGTACCTCTCACCTGGTGGCCATCAGCATCTTCCATGGGATCATCCTCCTCCTCTACTGTGTGCCCCACTCCAAAAACTCCTGGCTACTGGTTAAAGTGGCGACTGCGCTTTACTCCATCATGATCCCCATGCTGAATCCCCTCATCTACAGCCTCAGGAACAAAGATGTGAAAGAGACAGTCAGGAGGCTCATCAACTCCAAACTGCATTCTCATCTAACATAATTTTTAAAAAGGTTATTTACGTTCTAACCATATTGAAATTTTCATATACTTATTGATGGTACTTTAGCTTTAAGTTAATATATGGTTATACTCTAGATCAATTGAATATTAAATATGCAGTGGTTTTGAGTGTGCAAATTGACCTAGTGTTTTCTCTGTTTTCATACAAATATAGTGCACTCACCTCTACTTCATCTGAGATTATGAAACAATTATGTTTCAACATTTACTCACTGAACACTAGGGAAGGAAAAATGAAGAAATATTTATTTTGGCATTTGCATCTTAGGGCATAATTTTATGTTTATGTTTGTTTGTTTGTTTGGTACTGGGGATTGAACTCAGGGACACTTGACCACTGAGCCATATCCTCAGCCTTTTTATTTTATTTAGAGACAGTGTCTCACTAGTGCCTTAGCACCTCACTTTTGCTGAGGCTGGCTTTGAACTTGAGTTTCTGCTGCCTTAGCATCCCGAGCCGCTGGAATTATAGACATGTGCCACCCTGCCCTGCTTATGTTGCTCTTAAAATAATGCACACACACATTATAAATGTCTTCAAGTGCTTGAAACTCACACTTTTGACTCAGCAGGTTCTACAGAACATAACTTTTCATTTCATCTTATACTATTTCAAGTAGAATAGGATCATCAGGTTTATATTATGAAATGATTCTCTGATTTAAGCAAACATTTTGGAAATTGTAGCTACTATCTCTGTGTCACTCATTTTCCTCAAGTATAAAGGTAATATGTTATAGTTCAATAAATGTTGAGGTACTGATATTAAGAATTAAGAAAAGTTCATTTCTAATTCTACTTATATCCATTTTTCAGTGATACTAAACTATAATTTTTAAAACTCTACCTTCGTTTACACATTCTCACCATCAACTTATCTACTCTTTATCAATGACATCCACATCTACTTAGTTACTTAAACCATTTGGAAAATTTTAACGATTCCCACACAGTCTCTATGTATCTGCCAATAACTCATATTTTTTTTACATCTACAAAATGGGAAATTTCTTCACTTCTCTGATCTCAAAACTATCATAATAATACATTTGACTTATAGTAGTTAATATAAAATTACCCTAATTTCCTTTTTCTTTACTTTTCGTAGATTATCCATGGTTTTGTAAATCATACAATCTGTTTATTTCCCTCCCTAGGTTAGAATTATCTAACTATTTTGTGTAATACATAAAATGAAAATCAGTCTCTCTGAAAAAATGGCATTTGCCTCTCTTGTATTAGCACTTAAAATTTAAGACATTCAGGTGTGCATTTTTTAAGAAAATAACTGTGTAAGTCCCAAATAGATCAGAGTAGAACTATTGCCAGCACTATAAAAATAAATGCCTAGCTATTTCCTCTGGCTCCTGCATTAGACAAAATTAAGACTTTTACAATAAAGTTGCACTTGGTATAGAGATTCACTATCTATTTAAAGATACATCCCCCAAAATACTAAATGATATTTCCTGATTGTATACTTTACAATGATATAGGGCTTATTTCTTGTATAATACTTTATGTACTCTATGACTTTAGAAAAAAACTCATTCAAAATTTTACATATATTTATAATTTGTTCATTTTGTCCCTATTTAACTTTTTGTTGTAAAAGTTTCAAGTACTTTTCTAAAACTCAGACAATTATGAAGTTCATTTGTTTTTTTTTTTCAGTTATAAATTCATGTATATGGTTACAATGTTCAGAAATATTTATGACAATGAGATTTATAGTTAGAAGTATTGTTCACATATATAGAGATGCAGATTTTCAAAAAGGGCATATCTGAATATTCCAATTTTATAATCTACTCCATTTGCTATTAGTATTTTCAGACCTTTGGAAATTTAATAATTTGCTCATTATAGAACATGACTAAATATTTGTGGTTACTGAAGTTGGGAAGATTTTAGTATTTGCATGGATATATATTTTTTCCAAATTGTCTTTGTATGCCATGCTACCAACCCATTAATTATTTTCTTTTTGAAATTATTTTATGTACATTATGGATATTATTCCATTTTATAACATGAAAACTTTTTATATTTTGCATTATTTTTCAGTGATAAATATCCTTTGATAAGGAGAAAGTTAAATTTAACTCAAATATAACTTTTTTAAAAATGATTTTGTAATTATTTAATATTTTCCTTATCCACTTTGAAGTGAGGGAGAATTTCTACTGTACCATGTTTAGGAGTGTATTTAATTCTTTGTATTTTGGATTTCCTCACATATGTCATTTTTGTGGAAAGTGTGAGGTTTGGGTAGAGGTGAATGATAGAGGTTTCATCATTATGTGCTCTCTTTGTCTACATGTATCCTTGGGTAGACAGACATTTCCCATGTGATTCACCCTAGATAATATGAAGTTGGTGAATGTGTTGTAAGCTAGTACATACAACAGGCCTTAAATGTCTCTTCATGGTTGATTCTTTCTTCCTGGAGCTTATGCCTTTTACTTAGAGAGAAGCACAACACAAAGAGCGAGCATTCCTTCAACCCTAGTTCTAGAATGGGAATTTACAGGAAACTAACCAACCTTAGCAAATTCCAGAAGAGCAGAGATGCAGTCAGCATCAACACTCCTTAACTACTGTATTTTTACTCATACCCATATCACATTGTCACATGCTGTTCACTCAATAAAATATTGCTTCTGTCCTGTTGCTCTAAAAATGCCAACATTGTTATGAAGGAAGTATCCATGTCTGTGATTTCAGTGTTACCATAAGCTACTGCCTCAGCAACTCTTCAAAACCATTCCATAGTCAGTGGCTTAAAAGTTTAATTAATTAGTTTTCCAGAAACTGCCAGTAACATGATGTGTCTCTGTTTCATGCTATGTAGTACAGGAAAGCATTATGTCCTAGCACATTGCTGTGAGTATGGGTTTTCTCAAATCTCTCTCATCATCTTTATATTTGTTGGCTCTCTATGGGTTCTGGTTTAGATGTGAAGTGTCCCCCAAGAGCTCACATACGAGACAATGCAAGAAACTTTAGAGGTAAAATCATTGGTCTATGAGAATCTTAACCCTATCAGTGCATTAATCCCCTGATAGGGATTAACTGAATGATGACCTTAGTAAGGTTGGGTGTATCTGGAGGAGGGTACTCTTTGGGAGTATGCCATATTTTGTCTGTGGTCAGGGGTTCTCTCTCTCTCTCTCTCTCTCTCTCTCTCTCTCTCTCTCTCTCTGATACCCTATTCTGAGCTGCTTTCCATTACAATTCTGCCATGATATTATGACTCACCTTAAGCCCAGGACAATGGAATAAGCCCACATATGGACTGAGACCTCTGAAACTGCAAGCCGTCAAATAAAAATTTTCTCCTCTAAAATTGTTTTTTTCCAGGTCTTTTGGTCAGAGCACTGAAAAAGTTACCTAAGAAACTAATGAAAGTGTCAGAAAAATAATAGGTCAAGAGGCAATATTGAAGGTCTCCCAAGCCTAAACTAAGAACTTCCAAAATGTCAGCCTCAGCAACATGGTGAGTACCAGTCTCAAAAAATAAGTAAATAAATAAATAAATAAATAAATAAATAAATAAATAAATAAATAAATAAAAAGATTGAGAATGTGACTCAGTCGTAAAATGCCCTTGAGTTCAGTCCTCAACATTAAAAAAAAATCCTCAGCTCACATTTCAATTGTTTGTGGTAGTTTGCATGCTGTGTATATTGTAGAATTTACTACACTTCTTTTTAAGTTTGAGACAGGATCTTGCTTGGTGATCTTGTTGGCCTTGAATTTGTAATCCTCCCACCTCAACTGCAATAATCACAGGGATTACAAGAGAGTACCACCAAACCTGGCTTTCCCACACTTCTAAAGACTATTATTGCTGGGTGTGGTGGAGTACTCTGTAATCCCAATGTACCAGGAGGTTGATGAAGGAGGAATGCAAGTTCAAGGCCAGCCTCAGCAATGTAGCAGACTTAAGTAACTTAGTGAGACTCAGTCTCAAATTAAGAGAGAGAGAGAGAGAGAGAGAGAGAGAGAGAGAGAGAGATTATTTTTATATACCTGAAATACATGAAACAGTATGATTTCTACCCAAGCATAGCTATCATGTACAGTCAGTAGAAAAATGAATTTATATAATTCAAGGAAAAATGTATGGTAGGCCAATTTTGACAATAAACCAGGGTCACAAAAAGATGAGCCAGATACCTGCACCTGCATTTCCCTGAAAACCATTCACTGAAAGTATAAGTTACAAGTTTTATGGTCATATAGACATATATAGGGAAAGGGTAAAATTTAAACGGTAATCAAAGTTGAACATTTTCCAGATTGAGACCCTGAACTGATGCCACAGGTATAAAGAGTATCACATGATAGTCCAAATTGCACTGAAACTGAGATGTGACTCATTTCAGGGGCCAGGAAACCCTAGGCCTGGAGGTTGAATGAAAGAGTACCAGAGTGCCTGTGCTCTAGATAAATATTAGAAGCAGAAACATTTTTGTTCTGATTAAATCCTTTGAGACCTCAAATTATCTTTACACCTGTACTGTTTAGTACTTTCAAAGTTTGCAAAGCACATGAAAAGATAGGAGAAGGGCAGTCTCTACCTCTGGAGGTGGAGAATCTGCAATCTTATTTGGGTGTAATTTTTTGCTTCAGCCCAGAGCTTCTTTCTCTGAAGATGGCACCAGTTCTGCCTTAAATGTGTATTTCTTGCTTTACTCCAAAAGATGTCTCTCTCTTGAGATAGCCTGCATTCTTCCTTTAATGTGTATCTATCTGCATTCTCCCTTTCATGTGTATCTAATTATTGATTTCTAAATCTGTGTCAGAGAGAGAAGGGGGAGAGAGAGAGAGAGAGAGAAAGAGAGAAAGAGAGAGAGAGAGAGAGAGAGAGAGAGAGAGAGAGAGAGAGAGAGAGAGAGAAAGCCTATGAAATAAAATGCAATAACATTTAGCAATCATCAAAACCTCTTCAGAACATTTTATACATCAACAAT